CGCGGGCTTGCTGCATCTCGATGATCTTGCCCTCCAGGGTGAGCAGCATGGGCGGTTCCACCACCACTGCCTTGCGCACCTTCCCAATAACCTTCGGTCCAGCTGCCACTGCAATCTGCCATTGTTGGACGACATACCCTGCTCGAGGAAGGCGTGTCCCTGGCCGCAAGGAAGAGCGAGAGCTCCTGGAACGTCCTCACAGCGTTCAGGATCGTGGTCGCCTCAGACTGGGTGACTCGGGTCATCATGCCTCCGAGGTCGAAGGACACCCAGCTTCATGAAGGCCTCTGTCAGCAGGTTGACCCTGCGGCCGACCGCCTCGGCGTTATCCGGGTTCTGCCTCAACCGCAGGCCCACATTGCTCGTTGGGAGCCGCACCGCCGCCTAGCGGCAAGGTGTTAACCGAGTCACCATGCACCGTGGCAGGCACCCTGGGGATACCAGGGAGGAGGCCGGGGGGCGTTACCTCCCGTACGGCCGTCGGCCGCGGAATGCGGATCAACCGGCGAGTGCACGCCAGGGGTCTCTTTTTCCATGCAATTTTTTAACGAGTCAAGGGTTGAGTTTATTTCGGCTGTGCGCCCCATCTTTTCCCCCCTCCCGTTTCGTGATTTGGGAAGTCTTTGAGGCCCGAGTGATTGTGTCTTTCCCTGGAAATCGCATGGCGGCTTCCCTTGTGCCGTCGGACGGAGCCGATTGCCTGGACAGGCTCGGCAAGAATTTTCAATTGGCAGCGGAGGTAGTGGAAGTGGAAGAGTTCCGCTTCTTCTTCGATGCCGAGGCCAAGGTGGAACCTTGGCTTGGGAAGATCCAGTTGGGAGCGGAGGCTCAAATCCAAGCAGCCAGATTGCGGAGAGCCTGGCACGCGGTCTCGTTGTACTATAAGACCGCCGAGCAGGACCGCTTGCGGGTCGCTATCGAGGACCTCAATTCCCTCCTTGGGGACACCGAGTTGACATCAGCCAAGGAAGCCTTTTGGGTGCGTTACAAGCTCAGATTCCCCACGGAAGTGTACCCCAGTGACGCGGCAGTGTCCAGAACTTCCAGGGAAATGTCCAAGCGTCTCCTGTGCGTGACATCCGTCTGGAAGGTGAAAACCTTGCAGTGGCAGCTCGGCACGTCGAGCAAGAAGCGCAAGCTTGGAGAAGGCTTGTCGACGGAGGAGCCGGACGACGAGCAGCCCGGGCACCAGGACTGGGACTGGGAGACTTACCTGGACAGGCTGTTCACGCTGCTGCTGGCCTACGCCCTGGGCGGGGTCAAGGCGCTGGACAACGCCCCCTCGGCCAAGGAGGAAGACGTGCTCGGGGCGGACACCACGAAGTTCGTCTTCATGCCATTGGACGTGGTCGTGCGCTACCACGCGAGAGCCCGGCGCACCTCGGCCAGCCTGCCCCATGCCAGCCGACTCGCATGGCTCCTGCAGAGGGACACCAAGGAGAGGGCAGACTGGGTGAGCCGTTTCAGGGAGTCCACCCTGACGCTGGGCCAGGTCATCAAGGCTACGTACGAAGCACGGGGCGCCCACTGGGTCCCTGCCGGGAATTTCTCGGCGCCGACCAAGGAGCGCCAGCAGGCGTCACCAGCCGGCAGCACGGGGGGGTAAACCCCCGTTGGCGAAGCCGATCGCGGGAAGAGCGGTCGCACGGGCCATGAGGGATGGGACCGTGCTATGCCAGGCTGATCAGCACGGGCAATGCAAGGCGGGGCAGTCGTGCCCCAACGGCCAGCACAGGTGCGCTGCGAGGAGACCAAGTCTGCGGGATGCAGAACCACGGAGCCAAAGAGTGTCGGGCGGCGAAGAAGTCTTGAGGGTGCCCTGGGGGGGAGGGGGACTCCCCCATAGGGTCAGAACTCTCGCACGCGATCTTGGTCTGCTGGGACTCTTTGTCGTCCTCATGCAGTGGGGCGACTTCGCCCTCCCTCACAGGTTCATCAAGGGCCTCTGCCCCTCATTACGGTGTCTTCCCCTACCAGCCCGTCGAGGCGATCGCCCACTCGGAGGTGTTGGCTGGCTGGGAGGAGCACAATGCAGCCACCATCGCGGGCTCGAGCATTCCACGAAGGATCACAAGGAGTTTGCACCCCCCCGATGAACCTGAGCCAGCTCAAGCGGTATGCCAAAGGAGACCCCTACCGGCTCATACCTCGGTGTGTTATCACACAGGCGTCCGGCAAGCAACGTCTAATAGACGACGCCGCACGGGGCGGGCAATCCGCATCATCAAGAGACTCCAACAAACTTGTTTTGTGCACGCCGCTCCGCCCAGCGCTCCACGTCCAAGCTGCTGCAGCCTGCCTTCAGGAGTGCACCTGGGAGCGGTTCGCGCAGCAGGGGCAGTGGACGGGGGCCGGAGACGATTGGCCGAATGCCTACCGCCACTGTCCCATGTCACGACAGGAGGCCCTGGCCTGTGTGGTAGTCTGGTACCGCCAGGAATGGCAGGGAGCTGCAGATGTCGGTACCTTCTTGGGTCTCGACTTCAACCTCTCGGAGATCCACACACATGGGCGTGCGCGTTTTTGGGTTCGAGAGCGACTCGAGCAGAAGGTGCTCACCTTCATGCGTGACGCCAGGAAGAGCGGGAAGTTCACCCCAGGTCAAGCCGCGAAACTCTACGGCATGGTCAACTTCCTGGAGCATGGCCTCTTCGGGCGCATCGGTTTAGGCGAGATCCAGGCACTGAAGGAGCACCAGTATGGGGGCTCTAGCAGAGCCGGCACCAGCCTCCTGTCGGCCTTCGATTATGCGCCCCAGGAGGGAGCTGATGGTCTTACCCATGGACGTGCCGAGGGTGGTGGCTGCCTCGGACGCGGCCTTAGAGGCACCCCGTCAAGGGTCCGGCGGATACCACATTGGTCTTCCAGGACGGTGGCGTGCAGATCCGGGAAGCCTTTGTGGCCGTCGTCCCCTCGCAGGTCTATGACATGTGGGGACCAGGCGACCATAAAATAGCCCAATTGGAGCTATTTATGGTGGTGCACGCCCTCACGACAAGACCCGACCAATTCCGCGGGAGACGCGGAGTGTGGTTCATCGATAACATCGCCAGTCTTATGTGTTTGATCAGGGGCAGGAGTGACAACCCCGACTTGGCCAAGATGGCGACGTACATTCAGTGTTTGCTCTTTGCTCACTTTACTGGGAATACATTCCATCCAAATCCAATTGGGCCGATGCGATCAGCCGATTGGGACCCAGTGACCCATGGTACAGGGCCAACAACTTCAAGCTGAATTTCAGTCTTTTCCCCCCAGCTCTACTGAGGCTTCCGTACCGAGCCGTGATTACCTTCGCTGAGTTTCTGTGAGTGCATTGGGAGAGGTTGTGAAAGTAAGTGCTTTGGGAGATGTATCCTGCTTGATGCAGGGCATCCAGAGCTTATCGGGGGTAAACCCGATGTGCCGAGGAAATCGGCGAATTGACTGGGCCACAGCATGAGGAAATTCATGCTGTGGATACCAACGCAAATCCCACAGGCAAAGGGGGGTTATCAGACTCGTATAGCATCGCTTGGAGTGAAAATGCTGCGGTGCTGTTTATATCAAACCTCCTTGGGAATGTAATCCTGTATCAGGTTGGAAGGCTTGGGTTTACAGGCTTCATTCTGCAAGGAGTGTATTGGATCATGCGGGGCCTTTTGGCTCAAGTATGATCCAAACTGGCTAAATTTTAACCCCACCCTATCCCGCCCTGGTTCGCCGGCCCCCCTAGTTGGGACGTCCGTGAACCTTGAAGAGCGCGCCGCGCTTGGGGAATGCCTGGGGGACCAGGCCCCCAGTCAGCCAGTTAGCTCTGTGGTGGGAGATGTATCCTGCTTGATGCAGGGCATCCAGAGCTTATCGGGGGTAAACCCGATGTGCCGAGGAAATCGGCGAATTGACTGGGCCACAGCATGAGGAAACTCATGCTGTGGATACCAACGCAAATCCCACAGGCAAAGGTGGGTTATCAGACTCGTATAGCATCGCTTGGAGTGAAAATGCTGCGGCGCTGTTCATATCAAACCTCCTTGGGAATGAAAAATCATATGATTTGAAGAGTTTTGCGTCCAACACAGCGGGGAAACCACGTGCTTGAGCGCGCGCTTACAGGACGACGGGGCCACAAACAAACAAACGCACAACAAACACACAAACAAGCAAGCAAGCAAGCAAGTAAGCAAACAAATAAAGAAGCAAAAAACCCACACAAACAGGCAAGCAAACAAAGACAGAAATGAACAAACACACAAAGCAAGCCAGCAGCAAGCAAGCAAGCAAGCAAGCAAGCAAGCAAGCAAGCAAGCAAGCAAGCAAGCAAGCAAGCAAGCAAGCAAGCAAGCAAGCAAGCAAGCAAGCAAGCAAGCAAGCAAGCAAGCAAGCAAGCAAGCAAGCAAGCAAGCAAGCAAGCAAGCAAGCAAGCAAGCAAGCAAGCAAGCAAGCAAGCAAGCAAGCAAGCAAGCAAGCAAGCAAGCAAGCAAGCAAGCAAGCAAGCAAGCAAGCAAGCAAGCAAGCAAGCAAGCAAGCAAGCAAGCAGGCAGGCAGGCAGGCAGGCAGGCAGGCAGGCAGGCAGGCAGGCAGGCAGGCAGGCAGGCAGGCAGGCAAACAGACCAAGCAAACGACCAACAACCTAAGCAACCGACCAACCAACCAACCAACGGACCGACCGACCAACCAACCAACCAGTTCACCAACCAAACAACAAAGAACCAAACAAGCAAATTACAAAAGCAAACAAAACAAAACAAAACGAAGCAAGACGAAGCAAAACAAAACAAAATAGAACAAAAATAGAAAACAAAACAACACAAACAACAACAGAAGCAAACAAACACGCAAACGTATCCAAGCACCCATGCACCCGCGCACCCGCACACACACACACACAAACACAAACATACCCAAGCGCCCAAAGTCGAGCCATTCTTTGTCTGGTACATAGGCCATCCTCTCTTCCCCACGCCTCACAGAAACACAGCCACTCAATACACCCGGTTTTTTAGGCACCGCCTGTCCAGGAGTACCCCTATGACCGCACGGCCGAGTTCGAGGCAGCCCGGGAGGTGCCCCGGAAGCTGGCGGAGCGCGAGTTCTGGGCCAAGGAGGCGGATCGAGTTCGACGATTTCGAGCGGAAGGGATGGCGGGAGTCGGAGTTTTGCTTCCTATTTACATGATACACACACATATATATATATATATACACACATATATCTATATATATATATATATATATATATATATATACGGTACCCCCGCGTGGACCCGGGTTTGGTGCGTTTGACCTGTATTTCCAGTGTTTCATGCTGTTTGCTTCTTGGATTTTGTGTCAAAATTAGGGGGGGGGTGCCATATGTATATCTGATATGCATGCATGCATACAGATGTGATAAAAGCAAGACATCAGCATCTGCAATCTGAGAGAGTTTGAATGCATCCAAGAGTACAAGAACAACTCAGTTCTTTTTTCTGTATTCAAGATTCAAGAATCTGAGACAATATTTTCTGGGAATCTTGAGTCTTGTCCCACAAAAAGCAAATTCCAGGGTTGTCCCAATACTCTCGGTGTTCAATAAGATTCTCTATTTCAATCTCGATTCTTCAATCTCGAGGGGTTAGAACAACTTGACCATTTTTTGGGGTTGACCAGGATTCATGATTCTCAGGCAATATTGAATCCTCAATATTGAATCCTCAATCCAGTGATAAAGCACTTTCAAGTGTTAAGAACTTGAATGTTGTTTGGGTTTGGCCAGCATTGACAATTCTCAGGAAAGTTTTCTGTGTAATCTTGAATCTTGAATCTTCCATCCAGTGGTAACATACTTTCAAGTGCTTAGCGATCGAGTGGACACACTTTTAAGTTATTGGTTAGACAAACTTTCAAGTGCTTTTGGCGAGCTTCATGTCAGCTATGCTCCTGGTCACCCTTTTCCAGGAGGTAAACAAGGGTAGGTGTAACGCTCAATTACTCTGTATTCTTCAAGGCGCAGGATCATTACAAGTACTACATATGTGTGTATGTATGTGTATATATATATACATACACATGTATGTATGTTCTCCCACCGTCACCCCCCCTCTTGAACTACCTGTTCTCATTCGCTCATCTACTACCTCTCACCCTCTGAGGTAGAATGAATTTAGTTTCCTGTGCAAATAGAACTTGAAATACAATTGATTTAGCTAGAATCCCTGTTTGGCTCTTCCCTTCAAATTGCTCTTTGGAACACCGTCCAACAAGTTCAAGGCCGGACCTTTCTTATGCTACAAAAGGGCCAGAATGTAAACAACACAAATAGTATTTTGAATTTCCTTGTAGAAGTCCCTTATTTGTTTAGCCATATTTAACCTGAGTTATATAGGAGAAGTAGTCTCTATTTACTTGTTATTAACACACCTAATTGAATTGTGTTCGTAGTAGATTGTATTTAACACTTAGATTATATGTGGGGATAAACTCCTATCCAACTTCTTCTGTTACAAATTAGTTGGAGTTTACCCGAAGCTATATTTACATGTTCATGTAGCTCCTATTGGACAGGATTTGCTTATTTGAGCTGTAATTGAACATCAACACATTTTTGAAGCCTATATCCTTACTAAACTATATTCACAATTCCAAGTCTAGTTGAAGTAAAGTCCTATTTGGAAAGGGTATCATATTGGCACATTATGGAGGACTCCGGGCTCCAAATTATCAGGCTTTGGGGACCCACAATTCGAAATTTCGAGAATATAAGTTTTGAGATTCTAGATTTGCCATCCACAAAAGGCAGTAAAACCAGGGTCCATGGGGGGGAGGGTTGCATGGTTTTCTATTTTATAGTTGTATGGTTGTATGTATTGAGTGCCTCCTCTGATACAGTTTTCCATCTCGAGGTTGGCTGAATTTCAATCAGAAGCGGAAAATGGGACTTTCGGTGAGTCTTGGGGTTGGGCCAAGCAATGGTTTTGGCCACACAGCGTGTGTTTGCCTTTTGCTGAATTTGGGGATTGCCGGGACAGAGGTTTTGGTTTCATCCGACAGGGGTTTCTTATTTTTGGGTTTGCTTCTCCAACATGGACTTGCGATATGTTTGTGCGAAGACTCAACCGTGTTGAAAGAAGGTACTTTGCTTCGGAAGGGGTCTTCCACTGTGTTGAATCACCGCTTTGACTTGCGAACTGCAAATCTGTGCATCTTTTCGCCCATGGTCTTTGCATTCCGCGTGCGGGATCTTAACAACGGTTCAGGGTTGATCAAGACGACACTTTCCGTTTTTCGAGAAGATGGGATTGGAGTTGAGTTTCTTTTCAGTATTAAACCACCAGGGGACCGCAGGTTTTGGTCCATGTTGCCATTTACCAAGGTTCCATTTTGGGTACCCATTTTTGCCCCACAGCCACATGGTGATGCGACCCCCTTTTGGTTGGTAAAGGGAAGCGTTGCAGGACACCAACTTTTGAAAGGTGCCACCAGTTTGAGAACTCAAATGCTTTTGGGATCTGACTGCTGTGCCGGCCAGATTCGCGAGAAAGACGCAGAGGCGGCCCTCAGCTGAGGACTGCAGATTGAAGCGGTGAAAAAGGAAAGGTGCTAAGGCAGAGTTGCATTTGACTACCCCAAGGAGTACTTAAGCCCAGAAATTCTTGGAAGTGAACCAACCCTGGTTTTAAGTCTAGCTTGTGATCCAAAAATGGAACCCCGCTACCGTGGATGCCCTAAATATTGCAAGTAAACTAAACTTTACCCCACACCATGGGCCAATTTTCCTTGGTTGTTGAGTACGGGACCCGGTGGCCCCATTTGGTTGTGGGTCAGAACCTAAGGTGCCTGTCTGTGGTTAAGAAGGCTTTCTGGGTGTTCACCGGGGCACCGGGATTTTGATCCATAGCCATTTACTTGGATTGGAGTCTCTTGCTTTTCATGTTCTGCCGGAAGAGCCCGGTGCCTGGAGTTTGGGGAGGGCTCAAGCCGACCCGCGCCATGCTGTCGCCAAAACCAGAGGCCAGGAAAGCTTATTTTCCGTGGTCCAAATGTGGACCCCCGAAAATGGTGGTTTTCCTTTGAACCAAGCTGCAAAGGGTATCTCCTTTTCGCAACATTCTTGGTTGCCTTCAAGCTTTGATTTGACCTTTGGGAGGCTGCCGCAAGGCACTGGAAAGGTCATGTTGTCATTGCCGGCTGCGTGATGGTGTCGAACAGTGGCTTTGCATGCTCATGCTTGTGCTGAGGTACATGAAATTAGGATCATCCTGTGGAGGGAGGGGAATGGGGAGACCACATGAAGTCCAACAGCTCGTCGATGGCCACTGGTCAATGCCTCAGGCGCGGCCGCGCTACCTATGGGCTGCCCTGGCGGCTTTGGGCTTGCTGGCAGCCGCTCAACTTGAATGTAACGGAAACGGTTGTAAGTGAGAGGGCGTTGCATTTTGCTCTTGTTCAACCATGTTGCAGCCCTTGAGACGCTAACGCAAGTGGCTGGTTCAAAACCAATGGGATCCTATTTTGGGGGATTGGTGCACCGCCCATTTTAGAGCCTATTTTAGTGGGGATTGGGATAATCACTGGGGGTACGGGATTTTGACCCATGGCCAAGTGAGAGGGCTGTAAGGCCATTGCATTTTGCTCTCCGCTTGGACTAGGCAAAACGCTCACTAGCTCCTGCCGGCCCTGAGGCTCCATCCGGCCTGAGTGCGGCCCTCAAAGCCGAACTCACTGGCCCGAAGTGGACCTTGTCTCCGTTTGGTTTCCCTTTTGGTGTCCAGTTTTAGCACGGCCTCCAAAGGTTACCATGAGTTTCTGGGGGTCCTTCGGGCAACTGAGAGAAGGATGACGGCGTGTCAACTTCCCATGCATCAAAAAAACTGTAGGTGACGGGGATGCCCGAAATGTTGCGATGGAGAAGTTTCCAGCTTGTTCCCTTGCAATACAGCCGGGGGCATCCACTGAGACGGTTGAGCCTCATCAGCTCACGCATCGCCAGCTCGGAGGCGCTTTCACTGCTCCCAGCTGGCGGCCGGTGCCGAGCACCCAACGCGCCGAGCACCCAATGCCCCAATGCGGCCGAAAGGCTCGGTTTTCCACATGTGCCATGGGAAAGAAATCCGTTGGGGACTGTCATGGAGTTTTTTGGGGACTCATGAGAAAAATCTGTCCCAACGGACTGTCATATGGAGTGGCGGGGACTTAGGCAACCATGACAAGGATGGAGCCATGAGCATGGCACACAGATCAACAAGACGGAAGCTTCTCCTGCAAAAGTTTTGCGCGCCTTGTGATCATTGCCGAGGCTCACAAGGTCTTTCTCCGCGCCGAGGCAGAGAAGGAACAAATAGCACAAACATGGCAATGCTTCTGTGAGTGTCGTCTGAAAGATCCTTGTATTGAGCTATGAAGGGGAAGACCTTTTGGTCTTAGCGTTGACATCCGCGAAAGTTCCACGAAGGGCTGCGGAAGGTTGCTTCGTGTACTTTCGTATTGACAAAGTTGCGACTTTCGAGCAGGCACTGCGGAAGTTTAGTTCGTGGCTAGCTTTGTGATGAATGTTGTGAGAACAGCGCCGGTTTCCGTAGCAGGAATTTCAGACCGTCATGTCGTGACCGCATGGGTTGCGGGCTTTCCAAAAGATATTCCCCAGGCGGATAATTACTTGTTTTGCCTTGCGCTGGAGTTGGCAAACTCATGTTTGCTGCGACTGACGGGAATCCGCATGCAGATTTTGCAACCATGCTGCTTGACATGGGAGTTTCTCTGAATGGACGAACCTGGGTTGACATTCACCATTCTGAGAAACACCCGATATGTGAGTCAATTTCCTATGAAGCAAGGATACACGTGAATTCCAAGCTGAAGTGGGCAGTGCTCCTTAAATCACTCTCCAATGGTCTGCCCCTGCAGGGCGACGAGGGTGAGGCGCAACAGTCTGCTGATAGTCCGGCAGAGTCGGGCGATGTCAATTTCAGCACTTCTAAAGAGCTGATGAAGCGTTTAGGGCCAGTGGTCGATTTGCATGGAAGCACATCGAAAAGGAATTAATCCAGGCACGCTGGTCCAGCAGACCTTGGCCAGAAGGGGTTGCTCTGATGTCGGGACACCCTTTTCCTTTCCAAAAAACCGTATTGGCATCGTCGCTTTATTCATTCCCCTTTCTTCAAGCAGTGCCACCATGATGCCTGCACGGCCCGATTTGGGCTGTGAAAGTCTTCTTTTTGATTTCAAAGCAGGCCCATGAGGATGCCGTTGCTTCATTGGTTTGTTAGAAGGGGTCCTCAATTGATCCTCTCAGACCATATCTGTGGCTTAGTTTTGCGCGGATGCAGGTTGTGGATGTGGAAGTTGGTGACGTGGAGGAGGATCAGGACGCAGTCGCCGAGCCCGACGAGTGCACGCCTAAGATGGCACCGGTGGGGTGAAAGGGGCGATCTCGCTGACTCATCTTGGTCCTTTCCTTGGCTGGCGGGTGTTTGGGGACGAGCAAATGAGCAGGGGTTGTTCATTTTACAACAATACAAAGAGCAAACAAGCAAACAAGCAAACAAGCAAACAAGCAAGCAAGCAAACAAGCAAACAAGCAAACAAGCAAACACGCAAACAAGCAAACAAGCAAACAAGCAAACAAGCAAACAAGCAAACAAGCAAACAAGCAAACAAGCAAACGGGAGGATTCCCTGTGCGGAGCACAAAGAACCCTCGAAAGCCCCTGGAGCGGTCGACGAATGTGCCTCTTGCCAATCCCAGGTCAGCACATGGCCCAAATTGGCATCCCCAATCATGCCGCCTTTTTGGACGATTCGTACCTTTGGACTGAGCTTGATCAACTCAATAAGCTCCAGCAAGCGGTCACTATCACGGAGACGTGGGACGCCTTGAAGTCGGTTGCGTGGGCTTTTTCAGGTACAGCCAGAAAGGTGGTCGCTGACGCTTTTTTCCTGGCTTTTTTGGCATGAGATCCCTATGCTGGGGGCCACCATGCTCAGCTCCGAGCGTAACTCCTTTGCTTGGCAGGAAGAAAAGTCCAAAACTAATCAGCAGATCGGTCAAAGCAAAAGCTATTGCAGACCTCCCTCTACGGGCCCCTGATAAAGACTGCTTTATATGTAAAGCCATCCCAGTACTTACTTACATCTCTGAAATCAACCCCAGCCCGCATGCGTGTGGAAGGATCGCCGTCCACTTTCTTGGTCTTGGCATGTTGATCCGAGCCCGATGCCTACCTGCTCTGTCAGCACTGTGGTGTGACCTTCACTGCACCCACTGGCATCACCTTCTTTGCTAATGCGTCAATTGACTTATTGCAGGTTAGCCCTGCTGTGGTACGGAAGCTTCTCTTTAGCGCCATTCGCCATACTGCCTATGTATCCTCGACGTGTGGCCGCAGGAAAGACCTCAAATCCCCAAAATTTTCCAGGACTCCGACCTCACTCTTTCTTTTGAAAAGAGCATTGAGCATGTTCCTGACACTGAGGCCTGCTTTTCAGCCATCGTCGGTTGTACACTATCCGGCCACTTCCAGGAAACCTTAGAGCATCTTTTGGAGTGTGAACACTAATCTCAACTGCTGGTCCTCCCCCTCTTTGAGGGATGACCTAGGTTAAAAAATCCGCAGCCATGGCATTGTCGAGCTAGCTTCGCCCTTTCTTAGCAGACCAAGTGGGATGACCAGGCACGGTTCCACGGTTTGGACCGATGCCTCAACGGGGGCAAAGCATAACAAACTACCACTACGGCCTCGTCAGTTGCGGTTGAAACGTTGGCCATTTGGAAGCCTTTGCTGTTGCCTCTGGGCCCATTGTGACTGATTCCAAAGTCGCTGTTGGCAATTGGCATAAATTTTCTCTCCTGAGAAAAGCTCCATTCAGCGCAATGTGCTTTGACTTGTGGGAGCGCATTCTCAAGCTATGGCTCGTCCGTACTCTCGCCCCTTCACTTGAAGTGGGTCAAAGGTCACAACCTACCACTTGACCGGATTCCTTTTTCCGTCCTTTCCCGCCTCGGAGCTACCTTGGAAGATATCCGACGTAGGCGTTCCTCTGATGAAGCGGCAAAAATCCAAGCGGATGCCATCCGCAGCACGTTGTGGTTGCCTACGCCTGATATTCGTAGGGAAATCACTCAGCACCACGCGTGGTTGGCTCGTCTTACCACGACTCTCACTAGCATTGCTCCCGAAGAGAATCCTAATGAGGAGCCCCGCCTTGTCAAGGCTGTTTCTGAAGTCATAACTTTCCTTCCCAAATTGGCCTTGGGACTTCATGCTTGGCAGCACTAGCTGTGTCCCTAGAGTCATCCGTGACTCCCCGCCTTATCGAATTCGTAAGACCGTTCTCACTTGGAAGCATACCAAGAAGAATTATTCGCCTCACTTGATCTTAATACTTCGGCGGTTTGAAGTTGCCGTTGCATACACCTTTTGGGCGTTGGGACATCCCACGAGATTCCCCTCGGCTGCCGGGGTACTCTTGTTGTCATTCAATGGGTACAAACCTTGATGTCTGTGTTGCTCACAAAGTTGTCTGGGCATCCCGGCAGCTACTACTGCTGCAAAACCCACCGATCCGTCCACATCCGCTTTTTCCGTGATGGAACCATTCGGGGTGCTTGATTGTGGATGCCACTTAATCAGCTC